CGCGTGCCCGCGCCCTGCCAGTACGCGCACAAGCTGGCCTTCCTCGTGGGCCAGAGCATCCACCGCGAGCCCAACCTGTCGCTGTCCAACCGCCTGTACTACCTCTAGCCGAGCGGCTCTCCCAGCGCCAGCAAGGGCTCCGCCTCACCGTCAGCCTCTCGTCCGGTGGGACTTGGGAGGGGCCGGGGCGTCCGACATCACTACCAACCGAGATATTTTATAGGTAAAAATTAGTGTTTTTTAGTTCTCACCCAAGGACACGTTTTTATTGATTTTTTTTTTTCTAGAGAGAAGGGGGGGGGGAGAGAGAGAGAGAGAGACATCAATTGGTTGCCTCCTGCACACGCCCCTACCAGGGATCGAACCCGCAACTTTTTGGTGCACAGGACAAGGGGACAAGGCTCAGCCAACTGAGCCACCAGCAGGGCTGAGAGTCTAGATGTAAGTTGTTGGCCTCTCAGATGCATTGGGAGGGTTTCTGTTTGTTTTGAGAGAAATGTGGTTACAGTACTTTGTGTTATAAACAGACCCTTAAACCATTGGAAGTGCTTTCATGAGTGAGGAAGCCATACTTGAACTTGGGTGGACCTTGTATCTGAAATGTTGGGAAGGGACGGAGGGGAGGCGTGAGGCGGGCAGCCCGGTCAGGCGGCAGGCAGGCTGGCTGGGGCCTCTTCTCTCCTGATGGAAGTGCCAGCAGCAGCCCCAGCCAGGCCCAGGCAGGGGAGGTTGCTTTCCAGGGGGCTGTGTGCTGTGGGTTCAAAAAAGAGAGGGAGCCCTGGACAGTGTGGCTCAGTGGATAGAGCGTCAGCCTGCAGACTGAAGGGTCACGGTTCAATTCCCAGTCAGGGCGCATGCCCAGGTTGTGGGCTCGATCCCCAGTGTAGGGCGTGCAGGAGGCAGCCGACCCATGATTCTCTCTCATCACTGATGCTTTTTTTTTCTATCTCTCTCCCTCCCTCCCTCTCTCTCCCTTCCTTCCTCTCCCTTCCTCTCTGAAATCAATAAACAAACAAAACAAAACAAAAATTTAAAAACTTTAAAAGTTAAAAAAAAGATAGTTGAAACATTTTCAGTTTCTGTCCAGAGAAGCGTTTGCGGGTCGTTAGCAGGAGAGGCCGTAGCCCATGTCCGTGTCGCTGTGTGTGTTACTTTGCAGCCGGCATCGTTCTGTCTGTTATAAATTAAAGTGGCCGTCACCTGGTCTGCGGGTCGGTGTCGTTCTGTTCTCACTGAAGTCACAGCACTGGGTGCGCTTTTCAATCTGCTGGAGGGTCCACTCGGGGCCCCACACGGAGGCCACGCTTTGGGTTTAAGTCGACTTGACTGAGGGACGATTCACGCGAGGGGTAGTGCGAGGCGTGTGGACACGCTTACACGCTCCCGTCTCACACCAGGAAGACGCGGGGTCCCGTTACAGCCCCCGGGCAACACTGTCGTTTCCAGGACACAGTCGTGCACACGCCATTAAATTATCCCGGAGTCGTCTGTTTTTGGTGGTAAATCACACATTTTTATTTTAAAAAAAAATAGATTTCAGAGAGGAAGGGAGAGGGGAGAGAGAATCATTGATCGGCTTCCTGCACACCCCCTACTGGGGATCAAGCCCGCAACCGGGGCACGTGCCCTTGACCAGAATCAAACCCGGGACCCTTTGGTCCTCAGGCCGACGCTCTCTCCACTGAGCAACACCGGCCAGGGCCCCACACACTTTTACTGGGTCACGTGTGCACTCTGCCTGCTGGCTGGGAGGAGGCGCGGATGTTGTCTCCCACGTTTGCCGAGTGTCCCCGGCGTGTGGGCCCGAGCGTGGCCTGCGCGTGGGACACGTGGGGCTCTTCTGGGAAACACATTCCAGGAGAGAGAGGGGAGTGAGCCCCTGCACACAGTCCTGGTGCTGCTGCGGCCCCGCCCCAAAGCACACAGGAGGCGGGAGGCGGGCATCGTGGAAAATGACAGTTTATTCTAGAAAAGATCCGACACTGACCGCACACGACACCCACACGCCACTCCCGATGCGCTCGCACACGCAGTCCGTGACCACGGAACACGCTCACAACCTCCCACAGATTACAAAAGAAAGGCGGTCTGAACGCGTGTATAAAGAGTAAAAACAGTTACAAGTGGACGAGGGTACAAAAGAGCAGCCAGCGGAGGCACCGCCGGCAATGGGCCAGTCTGTGCTCAATGCCAAGGGAGGGTTGTGTGGGTCACGTGGAGCAGATTGACCTGGGGCTGGGCCGTGGCCTGTGTGTGCCGTGGGCTGTGTGCGCCGTGGCCTGTGCGTGCCGTGGCCGCGTGTGTGCTGCTGTCTGTCTGGCACGAGAGGAACAGACCCACCGAGTGACACTGAGGGTGCCGGGCCTGCTCCGAGGTGTGCGTGAGGACACGTGTGGTGTGGTGTGGCCTGGGCGTGGCCGCAAGCCTGCCCGTGTGGGGAGAGCACGAGGCGCACACACAGGAGCACAGCGAGTTTATTGGACGGTACAAACCATTGTGCAGAGTAAGGCAGAACATGGAGGCGCTTGGGGCTCGGACCAGAGTGGTAGGGATG